CAGACAGATCTGACATAACAGGATTTCAGAAACCAAACATCCTCTTTCCCCTCCCTTCTCTAAGAGCCAAAGTAAAAGAAGGCAGATAAATGCTCTCATTTACCGTTTTTGACACGTAAGTTGTACTTGTGTTCATGCAGCTCAGACTCTCCTCATTGCAGCAGCCTCCACATCTGAACACGTTCACACAGGGAGGCTTGAAGAATTTGTTGGTTGTTGTACCCAGCTCTTTGGCAACTTCCACACAGGTTTCCCGTGGCACACATTGAGTCTTCTGCCATTCTTCATCTATCACTGGAGAAAACACCATTTTGATAAGCAATGACAGCAATGTAAACCTCTGATTAGTAAGTAAAAACTTTATATAAATAAAAATGAATTGCTGGGAGACCATTTGCACTATCTGCTGATACTTGCATCAGTTTAAAAGCCAGAGAAAGTCTGAGGACAATATTATGCCAGGGATTTACACCAGCTGCACTGGCAAAGAGTTGTTACATTTATGTGCCTGAAGTTTTCACAACATGGATGACAAAAATCTCAGTTAATTAGAGTGGGTTAAGTAGAACTATATTGATTTTACTAGCCACAGTCTCTATCTGAGAAAACTGATCCAAACCTTGTTCGCACCTTCTCCAGGGCAAACCTCCTTATTGTCATTCTATCATCTCTTCACTTTTACCCCGCTGTTTATCAAACCAGAGCCTGACTGGAAAAGCACATTAATGATTAACAGATTCTGGTCAGAGGGTATTAATACTCTTCCTGGATGTCAGCCAGGGAACAAGGTTTCCAAAATGTCTAATGAAATCCAACACAAACACTCTCACACCTAAGTACCCTCAGGGGTTTCAAGTTTGAATAACAGGAATATGAAATCAAGCATGATTTATCTTTTCAAAACAATGTGACATCTTTTGAACACTGAATAGTTACAGACTAGCAATTTATATTAGACCGATCTGTCAAATTCTGACTGCACATTAATTGACTAAACCAAGACAGAAAACAGTAACATTTACACAGTATTATCTCAAATCTTGTTAGAGGTGGCTGTGCTTATTTTGGCTTTTGCTTAACTCATTCATGTTATGGAATTACACAAGAGTCATCAATGCTTATCCTTTAAGTCCTTCCTAAAACTATGAAAAACATTTTCCCTGTCTGCCCTTCTCCAGCCGCCTTAGGAGAGATCAACACCAACTTCTATACTATTAGGAAAGTTGCTATCTCTTCCTAAGTATTCCACCTCCCTGCTGTTATGCAAACAATGCACTTGGCTGTAGGAAACTTCTAAAAAAAAAAAAAACTTTTCATGGAAGATGTTTAATTTATGCTCTAGCTTGTCTCCTGGAAAGCATTTACTTCTCTCTTTCCTACTTGACTTCCACTTTTGTAATTTGTTCTTTATTTGTCTGCGTATACTCAAACTAGTTGTTTATTCCCGCAGAGTTCTTCCTCAGGGTTGATTCTCTCTATTTGTCAGTCATGCAAAAAATACAACAAATAAGTGTTTGGGGGCTGGATTCTGACTTTATGTCCTGCAGAATAACTTAGGAGTAGAATCATTAAATCAACAGAAAATTCTGGAGTTATATGAGTCTCTCCAAACAGCAATCTAATCCTAGGCTTTAAAATAGAAAATAAAGTGTTTGACAACTTATTAAGGTATGTGGATTAAATCACTTCAGATGTAATTTCCATGAGTGTCAGCAGTAATGACTTTTTCAACTGCACATATCCTCTCTTTTTTCATCTCTTTCTCTAATGGTGGGGATGTTATAAGTAAGGCTAGAGAAAGAAGTGTGTTTCAGGTTTTTGTTCTGAAGCATCATGGTCACTCTGATCTTTTTCATGAATGAGCATAGGCCATTTGCCAAGAAATTTGGCTCTGATGCATACTCAGGCTTGAAAGTTCTGCTTGATCTAGGTGAGCTGAGATGCTCTGGGGAGGCTGTGGTTACACAGGGTGACATGAGCTCTCTGTGAATTTGGTGTCAGCTCTGAAAAGGAGGGAAAAAGACCTGAATTTACTGATGTATGGGTGCTATGGAAGAGCTTTTGCGTCTAGCAGCAAAATATTCCGTAGCCCTGACTCCCTTGAACCTTCTCATCATAACACTTTGTTAAAACAAAACAGATTGCCCTGGCAAAAAGATCAGTGCTTACTGACTGCAAAGAGTGTAGGAAATAAATTAATGTTTGTAGTTGTTTGTTTGTTTTCTTTTTTAATAGGGGCTTTAGTACCTTGAACATATCAAAATATTAGAACAAAAATAGTTTCCATGTGGAAATGGAGGAATGGGAATATGATCCAGTAGGCTTTTTTTTACTTAAATTTCAGTGAATGACAGTCTGACATCACTGAGTCTAGGGCCAGACATTTAAAGGATGAGTAGGACGAAACCTTATAGCTGTTACAGACTGTTAATGATGGTAATGAGATATCTATAAGACTATAGAGTCATCTGACCTTATTTCCTGAGCAACTGTATTATTCTCTCATTGAGAAAAGCCTACTGCAATCTAAACTACCAGTATCACTTATTAAAATCATCTATTGTCTCACCGAGTTGACAAAATAAATACATTTTTACATTACTGCTAATGCTCCCTGAATGAGCTGAGCAATATTGAATAGAAAAATCCAGCATTTGATACTGGATAGTACTTCAGAACAGTAACAGCTCTGTGTTACTAATATTTCTGTATAGACTTGTAAATGTGTGCGGAGCAAATGCATACTGTTAATTAAAGGCCTCTTAACTGTTTTTGTTTTCTAAAAAAAAAATCTATGAGAGGTTTAAAGCCATGTCTATCCTATGAAAACATTTTTTAAATTGGCATTCAGGTGTGTATTTCTGTATTCTGGCTCAAAGAAGCAGATTAAGGCCTCCGTTCAGTCACAATTTAGCTGAAATATAAAAGACATGAAAGTGACCATAACATTGTGCAAATGTGTCTGCGGTTATTCTAAAAATGGCAGTGGAACAGGATCAGCAATATCTGATTTCTCAAAAGGAAAGTAATCTAATCATATCACTTCAGGGTCAAGACTGAACACACACAAAAAAAACCTCAAACCACACCAAAACAAAAAGCTCATTCTGTGTTATGTCAAATCTGCAGTTTGGTTTAGCTATAGGATGTTTGCTTTCTTGAACAAACTATCTGATACTTGATTTTACATCAATGAACTCTTGGGCTCTTTAACAATGGGCTCTTGAGTCTTTCACCTGCAGGGAATACTATTTTTTTTTGCTCTAGGTGGGAGATTGTGATTCCCGGCCTTCAGGTGTTGACTGGTAGTTTCAAGATCTACATCTTCTCTCCGTAGAGATTTCATCAAACAGATCAAGATTAGGGGAATACTTTCCTCCTCAGCAATTCCCACCCAGGCACTACTGATGGTGCATATGGTGCCTTATATCAGAGCACACATAATAAAAAAAGGGAATTTCTATGTCTGCTGTAAAACTCATTTGTTTCTGCCTGCAGGCAAATTCCGAGATTTAGGATAATGCTGCTGGCATGCCCCTCAGCCAGTCATTCCAACCTATTCTTGCTTGTTTACTTTCTCTCTTCTTTGTGGACTGACAAATCCATACTTAATATATCTTTCCTTTGGATAGTATACCGAGAACAATAAGCCTGATTTGGCCTAAAATGGGGAGACATACTTACGCTGTTGCCTAACGTTCTTTTGTACAATGTCATTTTCCACGAATGCCTTGTTATTACTGATGTATTCTAGGAATCCCCTGCTATTAAACTCTTTATTGCACAAGCAGCAGTGGTCCTGAAGTTGACACCAGACTCAGCTGCCAATCTGCACCTACCTTTTAGTGTATCAATATCATAGAAAGCAGCAGCAAATCTGGTGGAGCGATGTGACGCAGAGCGGGAGTCTAAATTGGCCAGGTTTTTGAGTTTTAGCCTGCATTTCCACAGCTTCCAGTCCTCAGAATGAGTGATTCGAAGCAGCTCTTCCAGGCTGGATGCTCTCCTGATCTGCTGTTCTGACCGCTCTAATGCTGACAGAGACGTCCTCTGGAAGGAAAGGGCCATGTCAGAAAGGCAGTACCTTGCAGCATAACCTCCATAACACAGCACAGAGAGCACTCATACAGAAGGCAGCATGTAACTGAGGATGACAGACAAAGCCTGGGAAAACAGGAACATACAGGAATGTCCTCATTCTTTGACAGTGCCTAGAGTCAGACCAGTCTGCAGGATTTGTGCCCTCATGAACTGGGGAGAGGAAATAGTCACTTCCTCACCCACCACAGGTCATCAAAGATGACTGACAAATGCAGGTGATACTCCTTGTATCACTGCTTCTTGGAGAACCTGGCAGACACTGCACACATCTCCACTGTGCCTGACCTGGCCTGTCCCATCAGCATGAATCCTAGGCCACTGCTGCAGACCAGGTGAATGACATCAGCTGGCAAGCACAACCCGTGTGCCTTTGCATGACCCACCTAATGCCCTCCCAGAAAAACGCTGGTGCCAATCATATCAAATCACTGAAAGGGCAAATGATAGCTGGAAGCTGCCCAAGTATATGGACACATCCACGTGGTGGGTAAACCCCATCTTCAATGTGCTATAAACTCACAGATTTCCTATCCCAGCTACCACTTGGACAACCCCTAAGTCAGCTAGAATGGCCTCAAGCCATGCCTGAGCTCTGTTGCTGTACAGCAGTGGCTGTGCAATCATCTCATTCTCCTGAGAGACAGATACCCCCAAATGTTTCCATAAGAGACCCGTCTCCATGCCCAAAGTAGGATGTTCTCTGCAAAGATCTATCCCACCAATTTGAATTTATTTATCCGTTTAAAAAATACCCATTTAACAGAAAGACCATTGTAGGGCACCACACAGCAATACTCATTTCTTCAGCTGCTGCTTTCCAACATCTGAGTTTGTGCATTTATCAAGGCATTGAGTATTTATTTCCACTGACTCACCAGATCTGGTGGAAATTATTACTTCCAACCCAAGTAAAAGGTTATCTTTCTCAATGGGTGTATTGCTCTGGGCTGGTGCTCTCAGATGTATTCTTTGGTAGTGCATCTGACTGTACTTGTAAATAAAAGGCTGCATGGCCAGCTCTTAGAAATAAAACACCAGTCCTTAAAGGCAAAGCTGCAAGATAGGAAGCCAGTGATTCAGTAGATAGTAGTCTGAAGTCTGAAGTAGCAGCAATATAATGTATAATGTTGAGGAAGAGGTTGGGGGAATGATCCCCAATTAAAGGAGGTCTTTCAGATGAGATACACAACCCAGACACTGACTACATCTGTTATTCATTATTAGAACATCTGTAGCATTTATTTTGCAATGATATAAATGTCAGCTTGTACATTCTGGCCAAGTTCATTTCTGGGTAATTACCTTTCACTGACCTAAAATTCCCTATGTAGTTAACTCAGAATTATTTGCTCTTCTTTTAAACCCTTACAGAACATTATATCTAGCACATTGTCATGATGCTTCCACTCTAGGGGTGGTCACTCTTTACTGGTGACTGATTTCTCATAAATTTCATATGTAGTGAAAACTGGAAAGTTCATCTCAATACTTACAAAAAAAAAAAAAAAAGATGTCAGAAGGAATGTGAATAATTAGCACCAATAACTGAACTGTAAGACTTTTACAAACTTGAAATAAAATGTACCTCCGATGTTGATGCATTAGAGTAGCATTGACAAGGCCTGCCTCTATATGTCGGTTGTTCCTTGTCTTGTACTGTTTTTCATTTACTGGAAACCAGAGAAGTACAAAGGAAGCAGAATGAGCAGTGTTCCCTTTGCAGTCATCAGAAATTGTTTATCATTAACTGAGCCATGATTATCCAAAACTCATATAGAGCCCTTAGAACTCAGTTATTGCTTGCCTGTAAACTCTAATACTGCTAAGTGAATCTATTGTCTGTTCTCTTTTCATCTTCTTTTGATGTTTCCTAATACCTACCCAAGCTCTTTGGTTTGATAGGGCAGCCAGGTGCCTACCTCTACAATCCCGTATATAATTATTAGACAAGATAGACACCTACTTTGTGAGCTAGTTATACTCATCTCCCTCTACAGCCAAGACAAAAAACTACAGACACTTTTAGAGTGTGATTTGTTTAGCCTGCATTGGATGAAATCACATCCAAAGCCTTTCTGCTGGCTGCCCTGCTGGGATCCACAGTTCACTGGCTTCCATGAGGCGGCTGTGTGTATTGTGAATCTTTGGTCAAATGATTCCATATCTGGAGTATAAAATGTCTGAAGAGAACCCCCTAGTTTTATTCCAATCTATCTAAGTGTCAAAATGTAAACTGTGAATATTTTTATGCATCTATTTTGGCTTCACAGGGCCTATTCAGATACTCTTATATAAAACGTTCATTTAAACACTTTCTAGAGTATTGACAGAATGGAATGATATTCCCCATCTTTATACACTTTGACTGTACAGGGTATTATCCAGAAATTAAAAAACATTCAAAAATAAAACCTTATGAAAGGAAAATTATGTGGAAGACACAACAACCCCCACAATAGGGTGTAGCACTAAGGCCTCTGATACCAGAGACTAAACTTCAGTCAACTTGTTTTGGAAAGGACAGCATGAAGTGAAAACACACTAGTGGTCTCAGATAATACCATATATGAAGGACCACATAACTGTGTGTTTCTTTTATGTATTAATCTAAATTTAAGCCCTTTTTAAGGCTGACAGGAAAGCTCCACTTTTAAGTTGAGCACAGATTTGCACAGAAATACAAAAAGATTGAAATGTGAAACTGGATGAAGGTGAAATGTGAAAAAATGTGAAATTGGATGAAGGTGTTAGGATTGATAGCACCTCAAACCTATGCCTCGTGTGATGATCAAGTACCTTATTCCCCCTCACAGTGATATCAGGTGGACAGCAGTCAAAATCAGTATTCAAACCTGAGAGGAGTTCCGTACTCAGCTGCAAAGCAGGGGAAGCATGCAAAGAGTCCAACAAACTCCAGACATCTTTGGGAGATCCTGCTCCCCAGAACAAGCAAGAGGAACAGAACTGCTTTCTTACTGCAGCAGCTGCACCTTGTATTTCCCACTCTTCAGATACTCCTACTGGCCTTTTTAGACTTTCACTGACAACTACGGTCCTTCTTTCCAGATTCACTCCCCTATCACAGTGTCAAATGCCCCTTCTCTGCCTTGTTCAGTTTAATCCACCTGTAACATCCTTCACTCTGTCTTGTCATCTTTTAGTGCATGAATTCCTCTGTGTTTTTGCATCATTTATGTTTATCCTTTCCCCATATTCTATGTGATGAGCTAAATGGGAGTCTAATTAGACCTAATTCATATTAAATGTTATGAAGAAACAGATGATTTTTTGACGTGCCCTCACTAGCCTTCCCGTAGATCTGTCCATATTTCAGGAGTTAGCTGGAATGAGTGCAGTCACCACTGCAGCACTTGTGGGCTCTGGTGGTTGCAACCTAGCTGGGAAATAGGATCTCTCTGCGCTTGATGTTCACACAGATAGCAAAATGATGAACCTGGCCCCCAAAAGCTTAAAATCTATATTAAAGCTTGGGAAAGAGACAGAGAAGGAGACAATGACAGAGGGCAAGGCAGCATCCCTCACAGGATCCCAAAATACACAAATCACCTTTGGTGCTTTTTCATTGGAAAGCTCCAAATGTCATACACTTTAAATGCCCACAAATTTACATCCTGCACTGGATTAAATACATATGCTGCAATAAAGGTTTGCAATAAAGGTTTCCTAAGAACCTGTCCATACCAATATCAAAGCAAAATAAAAGTAACAGGTTTAAGCAGTTCATCCTTACCCCTTCAGCTCACTGCTTCTTTAATATTATGTTTTTAACATAAGAAATAATCCTATATCAGGACATAAAGATCAGGTTTGTACTTAAATGGAGCTGTAGGTTTTTTGTAAAACTGGCCTTCCATATTTTCCAAAACAATTCTTCAACCCAAAGAGCAAAATTTATTTTCCTGCACTTGAGCAACATCACTGACATCAGGAAATGATAACGTGGGTTAACATTGTGATTTTTGGATAATTATAACTTCTGTCTTTCCAAAAGAAACCATAAAGGACTATCTTTCTTCTTCCTAGCAGTCTCAAATGCCAGAAAAACCCTACAAGTATTTAGCACTGGAAAGAAACGAGAAAAAACAGTGGTACATTCAGTGGCCTTTCCCACCTTGGAAGCTGGTTTAAATCAGACACTGAGTTCATTACCCCATTGATTTATGCGAGTCAAGGATTTGGCTTATGCATTGTGTGACAGAGATGCACGGTCCCACTCACAGTCTGGAGAATTATTATCGATGACCTCCAGTCAGATGTTGCAGTTCAGCAGTTTGTAACTTCCCCAATCCTTGACAAACTCCCAAGTTTCTTGCCTAAGAAAAAATGCCCTAACTTTTTCAAACCAATGTCTGGGTGAGTCAGCATAGCCCAGTGTGTAATAAAAGTTCAGTAGTTCCACTCTTTCTAGTCTGTCACAGAAGGTCTTTACAAGCACTCTCCTGAAAAGGAATGCTTTCCTGAGCCAGGGTCACAGGTACTATTGTGATAAGCAGTGCATAAATACCATTGGAAAGTTTCAACATTATCACTATGTCTGGGGCCAAGAGAAGTGGTTAAGAAACCTCTCAGTGACCTTGCACCGTTTTATGACCCAGCAATAAAAAGAGCCAACAGCCTTATCTAGCCAAGGAAAGCAGATTGTAGCTGCATAACCTGCATATCATAGATGATGGTTCTTTGAATGCCACTGATTCACAAAAATGGTAAAATAGTTTAGAGTTAAGTTATCCTTCAAAATTAACCAATTTAGTGGGGGAGGGTGCATCACACAGTAAAGGCTCTTAAACTTTGGGAGGCAATACTGGCAGTGCATAACATTTTGAAGCTTTAATGTGAGTGTCATGTTCTTGATGCTGCAGTACTATCTACATTCAGTTCAAGAGAAATCATGTAGAAGAGAGATGACACAACAAAAAGATTTCTTTTTT